CCTATAACCGGTCTCATCTTGTGGTTTTAACATAGAAAGTGATTGTGTGTAGGTATATTGGGAATTATTCCTGGAAAGTGTATTTTACATGAACCATGCAGTAAAGTGGATCCACTGGAATGAATAAATAACGATCTATAAAAGAAATCCTAATATCAAAGAAAAAAAAATAACGCACTTTAAGACACCTCGTAACCCCGTAATAGTGAGTGATTTATACATTTATCCCCCCCCCCCCCCCAAAAAAAAGAAGAGAAGTTATAATAGGGCTGCCATTTGTTGTTAAAAAGGGGTAGAGGTGTTGATGGCTTTTTCATTGCCAAAAATCCAGTTCTGAGTACTTTATATGGAACGTTCCAATTTTCTTTTTAATATTGATTCATGTATCTTTAAAAATTTTAATGTAACTTCATAGACAATGCGGAAAATGATTGAAGAAATCATTTTTACATAAAGAAATGATAAATTTGATACGAGCACAATTTTAAAAGAAGTAGTACCTTGTCTCGTCTGTATGGATGAATCAAGCTTCATTACTTGTCTAATGAAATCGTTTGTAATAAAATTATATTTTCCTTAAAATTATTATACTTCTTCCAGCTATCAAAGATACATTACGGTGAATTGAAATAAAAGTTCAAAATTGTTTTCTGGAACATAAGGCAGGTTAAAGTAAATAGTTTCCGGTTCAGAGAATTTACAGATTTCTTTTAACGTAACGTTAAAATCAGTAACGCTGTGATGACGATATCACGTCAAAATTTGTAATTTCTAAAGAAAACTCCCAATTTTTCGAGACGTCTGACGGAAAAACGGTTTGTGATAATTTAAAAAAAAAATAAAATGATTTTGAAAAGACACATCGTAGGCATGTTTGTAAAAAAACTGAAATCAAATTTGGAGACAGAGCCGCTCTGTTATACGTAACGTACCCAGTTCTTTGGTAGAAATGTTGAATGATAAATTCAAATAATGCGTGTTTAAATTTTTAAAATATTGTGATTTATTTCAAACTTATCCAGAATTAAAAACTGTAAAATCGGATCGCGGAGTACGTCAAAATTTAGTAAATTACAAACAATGCACTAAACATATTCTTTGTAAAATGGAGCAAAAACTAAAAAATCCTAGACGTCTTGATTAAAAACTGTTCATATTCCAGACTATATGGCTCAATACTTTGCTTTGTTCAAAAGAAACCAATATCAAAAAATAGATAGTCCTCATTGACAACGACAAAAAAGATGACACTTTAAAACGTCATATACCAGCAGTTAACGATACAATTTCGTGTTATACTAGGGAAAACTCCTGAATAAACTATGAGAGTTAATGCTGGAAGCAGGAAATATGTCAAAAGCGAGTCGTACATGTGTGTGCAAATGGCACAGGTGGCATTTGAGTGATAGAAACTCTGTATCGGACGAGGATGATCTGTGTAAAAATCTAAACAAAAACTTTAAATAGTTGGAACGTCATGCAAAAACATAGGCGCTTCACAGTTGCTGATCTTGTGAGAGCACAGTTAAGCGGTAAATACTGCATTTTCACAATATATTCAAAAGTGCCCTGTCACGTGCATAGCGCAGTGGTTAGAGCGTTAGCTATGGAAAGCCATAGCTGCCTTATGTGGTTATTTCATGAGAAGATGGTGCTTTTTTATGTTATGCTGTGGTTATTTTTTGTGTGAAGATGGTGCTTTATTATGTTATTCTGTGGTTATTTCATGAGAAGATGGTGCTTTTTTAATATTATGCTGTGGTTATTCCATGAGAAGATGGTGCTTTTTTATGGTATGCTGTGGTTATTTCATGTGAAGGTGGTGCTTTTTTATGTTACGCTGTGGTTTTTCATGTGAAGGTGGTGCTTTTTATGTTATGCTGTGGTTATTTCATGAGGTGGTTTTTCATGTGAAAGTGGTTTTTTTTATGTGAAGATGGTTTTTCATGTGAAGGTGGTTTTTCATGTGATGGTGGTTTTTTTATGTGAAGGTGGTTTTTCATGTGATGGTGGTATTTTATGAGATGATGGTTTTTCATGTGAAGTTTTTTTTTTTTTTTTTTTTTTTTTTTTTTACATGAGGGTGTTTTTTTTATATTTAATGTGAAGTTGTCATTCGGAACTCCTCATATTTTTTGAAGACCGAGTTTAACACTGAGTTTAACAGCTATTATCTCAAAATTTTGAAAGTAAAACAAATAGTCGATGTCAATAAAATCATTTTAATGCATTATTGCTAGTTCCTCTTTTTTCCATACGCACTTGGTTTCATAATGGTGTATTTTGTTTTTTGTAGGTGTGTCTGAATACACTCAAAAACATAAAAATAAAAAAAAAATCACTGAAATTAGCACGTTTAAATAATGTAATATTACTCTATATAATAAGAGTGTAGGTAAGACAGTTGCCATCTTCGGAAAATCTAGAGAGGTCAGAAACTGCAACAAACTTGTTCTCGTTATTCCGGGACGCCTCTACATTTTACTGAGTTAAAAATTTTGGCTTTACCTGAAGAAAAATAAAAACTTTCAGTGCTAGGTATCAGGATAATTTATGCGGCAAGTTCAAATTGGCAGACAATTGAAAGGCGTTATTCAATCATTTTCAAATGTAGATTTCACCCGAAACCCTGCCCGAAACTGGTAGGAAAGGTGAAAATATTGATTAAAATCAAGTGTGAACCAAGCCGGGCACCACGTAAAATCGAAGGTTGCAACTGTCGTACCTTCACTTTTTTTTAAATAAAGTAATATGACATTTTTAAAACTTGCTTAGAACATAATACACAGAATACACCATCCTGAAACCAAGCGCCTATGGAAAAAAGAGGAAATATGATTTTAATTATATTGATTATTTGTTTCACTTTCAAAATTTAAAGATAAAAGCAATTAAACTCAGTGTTAAACTCAATCTTCAAAAATATTAGGAGTTCTGAGTGACCACCTTCACATTAAATATAAAAAAACACATGAAAACCACCATCACATGAAAAACCACCTTCACATAAAAAACCACCATCACATGAAAAACCACCATCACTTTAAACACCACCTTCACATAAACAACCACCTTCACATGAAAAACCACCTTCACATGAAAAACCACCTTCACATAAAATAACCACAGCATAACATTAAAAAGCACCACCTTCACATGAAATAACCACAGCATAACATAATAAAGCACCATCTTCACATGAAATAACCACAGCATAACATAATAAAGCACCATCTTCACTTGAAATAACCACAGCATAACATAAAAAAACACCACCTTCTCATGATATAACCACAAAAGGCAGCTATGGCATTCCATAGTAAGGTGCTGATCCTTACATGACAGGTTTGAATCCCGATGCAGGATGTGGAGACTGGTCCTTCAGTTGAGACCATATAAACTGATGTCCCTTGTCGCAGCTAGTACTACAATGTAGCAGAAAAAAGATCCCTCACTGCTCAATGGCCCTGAGTGCTGTGTATAGGTCTAAATTTGCAACCCTCCACTGGCAAGTGTTGCATCTCCATATGAGGGAAAAATTCTTGAAAGGTCGATAAAGAAATAACAAACAAAAATGCTGAATGCTGCAAGAGATTTGTATTTTTAGTTGTTGCAATTAAGGCAAACTGTGTTGGACTACTTGTAACTACATGTAGGATATCTTACTAAACATTTAATATTTTGGTATGAGGTTAGTTAACAAGAGGTCAATGGACCACAACATTCACATGAGTCAATATGGTCCTGCTTTTCTCCATCAGCAGATTTTTTACATACATGTACTTATGTAAAACTTTGATCCCTATTGTGATCCCATCCTAGCCCAAGGCATAAATGTTTATTAATGTAGCCCCACCCTACCCCTGAAGGTCATGAATTGAACAAACTTGAATCTATATTACCTTAAGATACTTACATATCAATATGACTAAACATGGCTTTGCTGTTCTTGAAAAAAAAATTTAAAAGATTTTTTTCTAGCATATATGCGTATTTTAAAATCTGATAGCACATTGTGGTCCCACCCAATACCCACAGGGGTTAAGATTTGAACAAACTTAAATCTGCACTACCTGAGGATACTTTCATATCAATATGACTTATTATGGCTTTGCTGTTCTTGAGAAGATTTTTAAGGATTTTTTCCCTATATATTCACATGTAAAACCTTGATCTCCCATTGTGGCCCCAACCTACCCCAGGGGTCATGATTTGAATGAAATTAAATCTCTAATACCTGTGGATGCATCCATATAATTTGATATAAATATGACTAATCTTAGATTTGCTATTCTTGAGAAGATTATTTTAAAAGTTTTTTTCCTATATGTTCCTTTTTGGAACTTTGATTGCCAATTGTGGCCCCACCCTATCCCTTAGGGTCATGATTTGAACAAATGAACAAATTTGAATCTGCACCACCTGAGGATGCTTCCAGACCAAATTAACTAATCATGGCTTTGCTGTTCTTAAAGCTTGAGAAGAAGATTTTTGAAGATATTTATATATATTTATTTAAATGACCCCATTCACTTCTTCATAATTAACATCCCTTGGAATATGATGTGGCTCTTCTTTTGAAAGAAAAATCTTGAGCGTTTGGCCATTCATTTAAGGATAATCTGTGCCAAGTTTTGTTCAAATCTGTCCAGTGGTTCTGGAAAAGAAGATAAAAATGTGATAAGTTTAAGACAACCATGACAACACAGATGATAACAACAGACAAATTTTTAGCAGAAAAGATCACTTGAGCCTTTGGCTATTTCTTGCACAAGATTCTTATTAATTTATATTCTTTTTGACAATGATTTCTTGGATATCAGGAGTGACCCCCCCCCCCCCTTTTCCCTCCCTTCCCAAGTAAACATCAGCAATGGTGGGTATGAATAATTTGGGGTGCTGTCTCATCACTGAGAGAGGTCTGATTCAGGAAAGCAAAATTGTAATCCAAGTACCTCTGTATTCAATCAGGAAAGAAAAACAAGATTATTAGTAGACTCTGTTTTTTCTATGTAATTACAACGGAACATACATGTATTTAACATAAACCACAATATTATAAGTACCCAATAAATCCAAAGTTACTTAGTACAAAAAAAAGAAAATTTAATACACTGAAAAACATTAGAAGTATATACAACATACATGGTACATGTACATACATGTGTATGTCAATATTTGTAACCATGTGATTGCACAAAACCAAACCAGAAGAAGGAGTCTAAGATAGACTGTCTATCACCAGAATCCATGAAATCGAAGGGCCTTGTGTAAGATATAGAGGCTTTATTGGGCTTCTGAATGTATCCACTCTCCCTCAGGCTGTAGTAATCCTCCCGTTCAATATAAAGGTATGTAAAAATAATCTGAAAACAAAAAGATTACAAATCAGTTCACCTGAGCTGGCTTACTGTTGATGATACATAAATACTGGATTTATTTGACAATTAACTTTTGAATAAGTAAACCAATCTTAAAGTTTATTGAGTATCAAAAAATCACTGGTCTTGTTGACAAGAAAAAGAAAGATAACTCTTGCTAAAAATATGGTCTGACTCTGTACCATTTACATTCTCTCAAGTATATCACAGTGACAAGCACAGGAAATAGTACAATACTTTTACTTTATTATACTTGAATGCCTGCCCTACTGCTTTTCCATCCTTTATGATTGTTATTGACTAAGAAAACAATTAAATGTGAAATAATCCATGGGAATAGTTTGTTTTTTTTTTTTTTAACTTTAATCAAAAAACTTTTTTTTTAAACACATTTTTTAAAAGGTGCAAAAATTTCCCTGTAAACAATAAATCATCTCATTCAGGGAAAGTCTGCTCATTGATTATCAAACTTGAATTCTCTGTATTCAAGGTGGCTTTCAATCAAATGTGGATGAAAAAAAGATGTATATAGTGGTTTTATAGAAGACTTTGAAAAAAAAATCTAATAAAAGTTTACCAACACATTACATCAAATTATAGTTTGAGAAAAATAACAACTGAAATCTCATGTTACCATAAATGAAAATACAAGTGGGTAACTGCATGTGCAACTTGTTTACAAAGGTAGTGAGAATTGAAACCATCTATTGAAGAAATTAAATGTAGAGAGTTCACTGTGTATTTATGTCACAGGTAATTTGTTACTCTTGCATTTTTGCCCAGTGCTTGGATGTTGGTAAAATAATGAAATTAAAACATTGTGTATGATAAATATCTTAAATTAGTCCAAGGAAATGGCTTGTGTAGGGTATAGACAACTAGACCTACAAGTAACAAGCAATCTTTTGACTTGTGCTTCTGGAGAAGGAAGAAGTTTGAAATTTTTATAAAGTGCTGCCAATAACCAAAGCCTGAAAACAGGGGTAACAGACAAAATCTAAACAGAAGATCTTTCTGTCCTTACCCAGGTGAGCTTAAAATATAATTATGGAAGACTTACTTTTGTTCCAATACATAAAAGTCCCACTACATAGGGAAAGAAGAATGATTCAATTGCTTCCATGATCAGTTTAATTCCATGTCGACCAAGAACATTTTTTCCAATATGTTTAAATGTAAAAGTCTCTTCATTATATTCTCCTGTAAAAGCATTATATGGCTTTACCTGAAAAAAAAAAAAAAAAAAAAAAAAAAAAAAACTTTTACGATGATCTCAATGATAAGGATAAGACAGAGCCCTCACTTCAAATAAAAGTTAACATGGTGGTAGTACTAAAAGTAAGTGTTTTGACCGACATGAATGTAGTCTTATAAATTATAAATTACAAAACTCTAAGAAGTTCAAGGTCAATAGTAGTAAGGTATATGTATTTCACCTGTTCAATCTCTTTCCACATCTAAATATGAAATGAATCACAAATCTGACTTCCTTTTAACAATTCTATCAGCCTCCAAACAAAGAAATGATGTATATTTGGTCTGTTATTTGCTGTAAACGAACTTTAACAACAATATTTTTTATGAATCACCAATTTGCAAATTGGAAACCTGGCAATGCATAATACAAGCAGTCAAGATTTCCTGTATCAGAAACCTTTTAAAGCCTTTCACTGTTTTGTAACCATAAATATCCAAGAGCTGGAGTTGCTGGCAAATCTTGTTGCTTTTTTTTGCATACAAAGTTATAATAAAAGCTGGTTTAACACAAACTTCTAAGAGATTATTTCTTTCTTTATTACCTCTGTCACAGTGAGAATCTGTGATGTCTCATTTGCCATTGTTGTATAACGAATGTCTGGTATTCCATGAACACTTGAATCCTTAATACCTATGGCATCACAAACGCTACTGCCAGTCCTTGACAAATAATCAAAGAAAAAAAAATATTTATGTTCTGAATGTGCATTTAATCACAATTACATTTACTGCTACAGTCAAACCTTAGTACAATGAACTTGGTAGAATCGCTTAAAAACTGAGAAAGAAAATATGACATTGAGGTTTAGAGGTAGTGATGGGAATCGGTAAGAATATCATAATCGATGATCAGGTTACTGTAACTAACTAATTATCAATTATAATCGGACATTTACAAAGTTTATCAATCTAGTTAATTAAATGGTAAGAATGGGTAAATGACTTCATTCTGTGGTGGTCAAGCTGGTCCTTCATTCATTTTGTAGAACTTAAGTACGTCCATACCTGGGAACGTGCTTTGTTACCGTTTATGGATATAACTGTCTGTTCATCTGCGCCATTACTGTACACAAATCAGTTAATAGACAAGTCACTGCTGGAATATTTGGCTTAAAAACTATGACGTTTGTAGAATAAAGAAATAAACCGATTAATCGGAATAAAAATTTTGTAATCAAGCACTTGGATTATGTCAGCAATCGACTGATTTTCAATTATAATCGATGATTGGAACACCACTATTTAGAGGTAAATTCATGATAGAGTCAAAACCAAAGATTTACTTTTTAATTCATATATGGTATTCAACAAATCAGTGTTCAAGATATTTAAGTTAACTATGCATGTTCTTCAAGTTACCTTGAATCAGATCATGGTCATATTTATTGGTCATGGGTAAATTTCTTGTTAACTTTTAATGTTCCTGAACTATTTAGAAAAGGCTCAAAGAATGATTTCATAGTTTCCCCTGACCTTGAGCTTGTCAATGTGACCTTGAGTCATTGCTCTGGTTGATCCTCAAAATGCCCTGACTCAGAGTTATTAGATACAGTCAAATCTTGTTAGACGTTAAAAACACCGAGAAAAAATTTGGTTGGGACTGCCAGATCACTTCGACTTATCCCTGCTATTTCGAGATATTGGTGTTAAAGATAATGAAGGTCATTTGTATGATAATTAATTAATCAGAGTTTACAAAGGAATGTCTTGATTTTATATCAAATACTTACTCTGGGTGAAGGAAAAAAATTTTGGAAAAGGCCATGAAGAGGTTTGTGTATCTTCCTTCTCTCTGTGGTTTGTCCCATCTAGCAAGAAGGGTTAAAAGGTACCTCCAGAAATTCAGAATGTTAAATCTCCATATGAAGAATAATCTCATTCTGTAAAAAAAATGTTAAAATATGCAGTTAATAAAACAAAAATATGCAGGTTTAAATTATAATTATAAGTTTATTGAATTCAGCATTGACTGGCAGGAGTTTATCAGTACATTAACTAACATTGCAACAATTTCATTGGCTATCACATACATCAAGAATTGTCAAAAATTAAAGTAATTTAGCTGTGCTTACAGGAAAAAAAAAACATTATAAGTTTGATTTTGCCTCCTTCCCTTCCATTATAACTGGGCCATCTATTACTTGATTGTTGTCTCTTAATGTCAAAAAATTAATTCATTGCTTCAATCAGCTTAATTGAAATTATATAACTGAAAATCTAGAAACAAACTCTAATAAAGAACATCAGTAATAATTGACCTGAAAGACTACTGAAAGTAAAAAAAAAAATCTTGCTTTTTGACAACTTTGGTTAAAATTGATCATGTTGATCCACTGGTTCTCAAGAAGTCAAAATGTAACAAAGCTACATGTAGTTCACAGACGGTCAACTAGAACGGACGGATGCGGCAGGATGCATGTCGAGAACTGGTGATCAGATAAGCTCAGGTGAGCTTAGGTCATGCAGATCTAGCATCTGAAGCAAGTCCAGTAGTGTGCATCCTTAGATGTATCATCCATGCAAGTTTTGTCATTATAGCTAGGGCTTATAGTTACATGGAAATGAGACCTGCTACAAAAACATTAAATTGGTCATTCTTTGGCTGAAAATGCAGCATTTGAAACTTGAGGTGTACCATGACAGTCACACATACTGCATGTCGAGGCATCATCTATGCATCTCGGATCAATATAGTGCATAGAAGGACTTAAAAAGAAATCTGCTCCAAAAACTTTCCTCCTTGGATTTCGACCTGGAGGGTATTACGTAAGCTCCCCCATCTTCTCTTAAGGTGAGTAAAAAATAAGCGAAAAAAGTTGTTGTTATAAAAAAATCAGGATACATGTAATTATGCCCATGATTACTGAATGTGCCCTACTCTGTGTAATTTTTTAAAGTAGATCTATTTGAAAATTTTGTAAGTTGAATCTAGCTGTGTAGAGGTAGAGAATTAATATTAAATACATAGTTTTAAACAATGAAGAGTATTATGCCCTTTTCACACGGAGAGTTTAATTCGCAGTAAATTAATGCGAAGTAAAATGATGCGAATTAAACTAATGCGAATTAAATTGCGTTCACACGACAGCTTATGCGAAGTAAACTAATGCGAATTATAATTTTATTTCTACAACAAGGCTACTCAGTGAGGCTATTATGACGTCATTTACAAATCACGTCATATTGTGCAGAGCAGATTATACATTTGACATAATGTCATAGTGTCTGTACATATTTTAGTGATTAACATAATTTTCCTTTGTTTTTCACCCAAAAATATCACAAGTACCTATATTTGACATTTATCAACATTTGACAATTCACACGGAGCTAATGCGAAGTAATTTAATGCGCAATAAACTAACTCGAATTAAACTAATTCGCATTAAATTCTGCGTGTGAACACAGATCAAATTTGATTCCCAGTAACTTACGTTTAATTCGAATTAAACTCTCCGTGTGAACAGGGCATTAAAGCTGTATGTAGAGTTCATATTAAAGCATCCATTGTACTTTGTACTGTAATATTTAGTTTTTCAATGACGTTTACTTTTTCTCATCTTCCTGCTTAACCCTTTCATCCATTCCTTGTTCATTCACAAAGTCTTCAATGGTCTTTTCCGTTGTTTCCATTGCATCCTTTATCCCACCCCCTTTATCCTTTTCTAAATTGCAGGAAAATGACCATTTTTCTGTAGTTAGTTGTTTTAGAGTGTTGCAGATTTTAGGCATTTTGCCTAGTGTACGATCAATGTTTACAGTTTTCAGCTTTGACATGAACGTTTTCAGATCTGTTGCATTTTCGCCATATTTAACTCCTAATGCGGTAAGGTGGTCCAATGTCCAATCAGTTGCCTGAGTTGGAAATCTTTTGTTCTTTTTATACGCTGAAGACGATTCACTTCCAATGGAAGATAAATCAGAATCAGATTCATCGGAATCATACACGTTACTTTCACTTTCAGCCATGATTGTTACATTGAGGTTGCACAACGTTTCGACACCACGACATTTCGCACCTCCCCTTTAACATGCAGACACATTTATAGACATTCTATTTTTTTTTCATTTTTTTACTTAGTTTTTCCTAGTTAACTACTAGAGCTTTATTAAAAAACTCTAATCACACTATCACACTAAAGTTAAAAGCTTAAATCACATTTCAGATATTCGATGCCGATCGAATTCAATAATGTATAGCAAAAACATCTAAACTGACTTAATGGGAAATATATTAAGAAAAAGCTTTTAATGAGGAGGATAAACAGCACGCGAAGTGTGATTTAAGCTTTTAACTTTAGTGTGATAGTGTGATTAAAGTTTTTTAATAAAGCTCTAGTAGTTAACTAGGAAAAACTAAGTAAAAAAAAAAAAAAAAAAAAAAAAAAAAAAAACCACAGCACGCGCAGTGCGATTTAAGTTTTTAACTTTAGTGTGATTAAAGTTTTTTGATAAAGCTCTAGTAGTTAATCTTTTTTGAGTTTTCCACATGTAAACATATAGTTCGGCACTGTCTGTTTACTAGTACACCTGTCCGTTACCTTGACTGAATATTACACGGGATTTTCAGTTAAATGGAAAGAGAGAGACACAGAAAGAGAAAAAAATGGAATGTTTTGGCGACACATTTTTCGTATAATTTGTTTTTTTTTTTTTTTTTGCTTCAATAAGAAACGTTTATATTCAGATATTGCTCATTTTCGAGCATTTTCATATAAGTCTCCTTGTAAAGGATGTACTCGGATATTTCAAAAGAAATGACCTATAAGAGAGAATAATTTCTCGGTAAAAGTCACATTTCAAAATCAATGTTCATTAATTAGTTGTTAATATCAATATTAGTTAATTTCTACCATATACTCTTATATATGTACGCTAATTTTGTTTTGTCCAGCACGTCTCTTAAGTATTTTACATAAGAATACGAGGGTTGTATATAAAGTTCTTAAAATTACCCTATAATTTTCTTAAAAATGACCAAACTGCCAAATGTGTTCAATGTCAACTTGTGTTCAATATCAATTTCGCCTCGATAGTCCTGGCCTTGGGAACTTGAATCTCTCAATGTTTTATTATACCGATACAAATGTAAAATTTAGAGGATTCAGATAGCGTGATTTTATAGCAGGGACCCAGATAGCATGACTATGTAGGGCCAACGTTGGTAAATGGTTGTACAGTTTGCCGATGGTTGGCGTTGGCTAGACAACGTTGGACCAACGTTGGACCAATGTTACCATGTCAGTCTTTTCCTTTAGTAGCCAACCAGGTTGGGATTCTCACGTTTGCCCAACGTTGGTCCAACATTAAGCAACTCCTTTTGCTACATTGTCTACGGTCGTTGGGATTCTAAAGTTGGCCTAGCGTTGGACCAACGTTTGTAATGCAACCTTAACACACTTGATTATTTAATCTGGTAACAGTATGTTTGGCCAGTGGTAGCATGCGTTTCCTCTACATTGGTCCAACGTTGTCCCATCGTCGTTCTGCGAACTATAGAACGATGTGCATATGAATTGGGAGTATTACATTGGGTCATTGTCGGCCCAATGTTTGCTATGCCATTAAAAAGATGCATGTTTATTTAAGCTGGTAACAGTAGTTGGTCCAGCGTTGGCCCAATGTTAGCATGAACATGGTCACTGTGTGCTGGGAATGTAATGCTGGCCAACCCAAGGTGCATTTCGGTTTCATAAAAATTTATTATCAAAAACTGGCTGTTAAAAGAGGAGAGATTATTTTATTAACTCACTGAATTTTGATTTAAATTGAAATGAAAAAAAAAATCTACCAGAACCCAAGTTATGAAAAAAAGCTATCAAATAATTATTTAAGATTATAGTAATATACGAAAACTGCAAGTAGAAGTTTAATTCCACACAAAATAATAAAGTTGAGATCCTATATTTAGCGTCTTGGAACTAAAGTGTTGTGTTTAAGAACTCCATATAATTAGGTCAGTGGTGAAATTCACTTGCTCAGCAGGTGACTGGCCGGTTTCCTAGGAGACGTGCATCTTAATCAGATCTTGCAAACTCAGAGCGGTCACTTTCTTATATAACGCCCGCACTGGAACAAAGCATACTTTCTTACTCAAAAAAGAGAAAATGGATTATTTTAGCCCTTGAATTGTAAGTAAAATTGTTATGTGTGATAGATAGAACTTTATGCTTTGTTAAAACTTAACTTACGCATAATGTAAATTTTTTTTAAAGAAGTTATTAAAAAAACCCACTTGTTTCAAAATGTTCATGTATATTTACTAGTTATCTGTTTGAAAGAAATAAAATTTATTTAATGATATGGTATTTTTAACATTCATAGCAACTGGTGGAGAAAAATCCTCTGTGTCATATGGCCTTTGATGCAAATTAAAGTATTTTCCTGAAAGACATGGATTCTAGCATAAAGAAACAACAATCGCATGGACAGGAAAAAGGAGTGGACAATTCAGATGTGATATGGACAGGAGAAAATGCACAATTAATTTACATTCCTACATTCTACAAGTTTGAAATAGTGGATTCCTATACTAGAGAAATTTAGAAGTGATTATATATTATTAATAGTGATGTGGAATATACTTAAGAAAAACATTTGAACTATCCCTTCCCCCGCTGACTGCATTCAATAATTAAGATTCCTTAATGAAAGTGACATGAATACTCTAAAACATTAATAAGAGGAACAAGTTGATTTTCTGAAATTGATTAATTTCATTGTATTGAAATGATGGAAATTAAAACAAATACAGGAATTGTGTTGTACTTCTATGATTGAAAGCCAATCATTTGCCATGTAAGTTGAATGCGTGTCCAACGTTGGTCCGATGTTGGCGATACGATTACTATATAGGCCTATATATGTACCTTAAAAAACGTTGACCCATTGTTGGCCTTTCGGTTAAAATGCGACATTCATCGTTGGCCCAATGTTGGCCCTACAATTACATGATTACATTACTATGTTGGGCCAACACTGCGCCAACATGTTGGGCCAACAAAGGGCCACAGTGCACTTAGACATTGCGCCAACGTTGTTTGCCAACGTTGGACCAACAAAGTGTGTTACGTTGGACCAACGTTGTCCCAACGTATGCATGCTATCTGGGGATTAGCTCACTGAACTATATAACACACGGGGATTAGTCCATTCACATATCATACCAATATAAAAGCAAAATCTAGAGGATTACAGATAACCGGGAATCAGCTTTTGATGCAGGGATTAGCTCACTTGACTAACGCACGGGGATTAGTCCATTCATAACAATTTCTAGGGAATTAGTCACATCAAATGAACTAATGTTATATAGGGAAAAAATCAGTAGAGGTATAATAACATAATTTATTATATCTCTACTGATTTTTTTTCCTATATAACATTAGATCATTAGATGTGACTACCCAGATAGCAAGCTAACATTGGGCCAACGTTGGGCCAACGTCATCGGTTACATTGGGCCAATGTTGGCAAATGGAATTGGCCCAATGTAAGTTTGCTCATCGGCCCAATATTGGCCCGATATGTTGGGCCAACGTTGGCCCAATGTAAAGTGTGATTCTACAGATATTGGTCCAACTTTGAGCCAACATTGGCCCAATGAATGCGACATTGGGTCAATGTTGGGCCAACGTCATTACTTACATTGGGCCAACGTTGGCAAATGACATTGGCCCAATGTCAGTTTGCTCATCGGTCCAATGTTGGCTCGATATATTGGACCAACATTGGCCTAATGTGCAAGTCATACACACATTCTGCAAATGAACTAATCCGATCATCTCTACAATCAGAAAAACAAATCTACCTCCAATCCTATGCTTGAAAATACAAGTTAGCTAAAATACATAAAAAATAATATCAAGCTTGTTTAACTTCTTATATTTAATCAGAACAAAATAAATTATTAGTGATGGAATTAATTGTTTCTACACAAGGGAATTAAGCAAATGAAAGTATAAAATAACAAATGTATTTTGAATACTAGAGCCGAGCTCGTTGCAATGCAACGAATAGGTCTTCCGTCGGAGCTCCGGACAGGACATAGCGACCTTGAGTCAAGGGCATGCAACATTTTAAGGTTATAAACAATCCTGTAAGGGTATCAACTTGCAATGTTTCAACAGTAGAGAGACAGTAAAGGAATGTAGAATTCCCCTGTCAGTGAACTTGAACTTGTCCAAGATTATAGATTTTTTTTGTATGTTGTTTAACGTCCCTCTCGAGATATTTTCAATCATATGGAGATGCCACCATTTGCCGATGGAGATCTGCAAATTTTGAACTATACTCAGCACTCATGGCCATTGAGCAGTGAGGGATCTTTTTCGTGCCAGCACCTACTGCCAGACGGGACCTCGGTTTATACGGTCTCATCCGAAAGACCCGACTCTGCGTCCCACAGTGGGATTCGAACCTGCGACGTAAGGATCAACTCCTTACTCCACCACTCTAGAGCAGACACTCTTACCTCTGCGCCACATGGGCTACTAGACCTTTTTGAATTTTACACTTTTTATATCAGTGACCTTGAACTTGACTAAATGACCTATGATAAGGTCAAAAACAACCTTTGAACAAATTATGGGCTTCCAGTGATACTCATTGACAAAAGGTATACCTGGAAAAGAATATTGCACTTTTCTGTCAGTGACCTTGAACTTGCCAGAAAGACCTAGGATCAAGGTCAAAACATATCCTTGGATCATAAGCAATCTCTGTATGAAGTAAAAGCTTCCAGTGATTTTATATTACAAAGTTATAGCATGGAAAAAAATTAATATTTATCTGCCAGTGGGACAAACCCATCTTAAGCAATCTGAGAAAAAGTTTCCTGTGTTCCTCCCACCCTTTATAAATTTATAATCCAGGCACAAATTTTGCAACTTTTTCTGCCAGTCTAGTACAATGTTATCTCAAACCGGTGGATCATAAGTAATCTTTGTTCCAAGTATGAGCTTTCAAAA